CATTCCTGACACAGTCTTTGACCTCATTGAGCTGGAGGTCTTGAAGCTGGAGCTTATCCCCGATGTCACTATTCCCCCAAGCATTGCTCAGCTTACCAGCCTTAAGGAACTGTGGCTCTACCACACAGCTGCCAAAATTGAGGCTCCAGCCCTTGCCTTCTTAAGGGAGAATTTGAAATCTCTCCACATCAAGTTCACAGACATCAAGGAGATTCCTCTTTGGATTTATAGCCTGAAGACACTAGAGGAGCTTCATCTAACAGGGAATTTGAGTGCTGAAAACAACCGGTACATTGTGATAGATGGGTTGAGAGAGTTGAAGAGGCTGAAGGTGTTAAGGTTGAAGAGTAACCTCACCAAGCTGCCACAGGTGGTGACAGATGTTGGTGTGCATCTTCAGAAGCTTTCCATCAACAATGAGGGCACCAAGCTCATTGTTCTCAACAGCCTTAAGAAAATGGTCAACTTGACAGAGCTTGAGCTGATCCGTTGTGACTTGGAACGCATTCCTCACTCTATCTTTAGCCTCCACAATCTGCAGGAGATAGACCTGAAGGACAATAACCTAAAGACCATTGAGGAAATTATCAGCTTCCAGCACTTACATCGTCTCACTTGCCTTAAATTGTGGTACAACCACATTGCCTACATCCCCATGCAGATAGGCAACCTAACTAATTTAGAACGCCTTTACCTGAATCGTAACAAGATAGAAAAGATCCCTACCCAGCTCTTCTATTGCCGAAAACTTCGGTACTTGGATCTCAGCCACAACAACCTGACTTCCATACCGCCAGATGTTGGACTTCTTCAAAACCTGCAGAACTTAGCTGTGACAGCCAACAGGGTGAGTGAGCAAAAGTAACTCTAGCGATTCTGTTATCTGTTTGATTAAACATGCTGTAATGGTTTGTGAAATATTCCTGGCACCACCATTCTATTTAAATTCTCAAGCTTTTGTTTCCCTCTGAGGGGTTTATCTAAGGCGAAACACAGCAAATAGCTCCGGGGCAAGGCTTTCTCCGAACAGCCCTTGTGCTGTAGCTTTCTTCCCTTAACAGTGAAACTGCTACAAAGTGGCAATGGGAGACTGTTTAGAAATGCTGCCTGTCCCTTGTTTCTCTGCAGTTGGAAGCGTGTAGACTCTAGCTTGACATCAATTTTGGACTTAAAACGGAGATCTGAGAAACTGTAGTCTTAATCTGGAGCTATGCACTTAAGTTTATGTACTTCACCCATGTACATGTACGCTATGGCAGCAGCCATCTAGGGCATGTATGTGTGTGGCTTACAGCTTTGCTTATAGCACTTTGCATTTCCAGGGAATGTTCCATAGTTTGGTCTTGTAAGCATGCTTTTTCTGTGAGAAGTTGGGTATGGACAGACATAGAAAAAAATTGTTCTTAAGCTCTCACTTCTAAAATGCAGTGTCTTGTTCCACAAAGGTGACTTTAGAGAGAGCAAAACAATCTTCTGCAGTGTCCTTAGGGCAGAGTGCACTAAACCAGGCTTATCAATTGGCATTTAGATATGAAAGTGTGAACTGTGGCAGTTCCTTGACTTCCAGAGAGGAGGAAACATGATGGCACCTTGCTATGCCTCAGTATGATGGCTGTGGGTTTTCTTGTCCCAGATAGGTTGTCACTGTAATATATCAAATCCTTACTGCTGTTGGCAAGATGTGCTCATACCTGAACACTCGTATTGCCTGTGAGAGGCAGGCAGAGTAGCTCTAATATGGTTTGGCTTTTCACAGGGGAAATGCTCTCAAATCAAGTATTTAATTGCCGATTCAGATCAGCGTTACATGGGGTTCCTAAAACTCCAGCTAGCATTTTGAAGTTAGTGCCTGAAAGTTCAAGTCTGTGTTGTGCCACTGAAGAGTAATGGCAGAGAAGCAGCAGCCATTCAGCTATCCCAGTTTAAGAGCTGGCCGCTCAGTTTTCCCAGCACTAACAGACTGGATGGCTGTGCATCTGTTTGCATGCGTGGCTTGAGCTCTGGTAACTTTCATGGTATGCACACATCACTTCTGATTAAGTTAAAAGCCAAAATATTTTCTCAGGTCAAGTGGGGCTGATATAGGCAAAGCTTCTGAGGATGGCATTAAGCAAAGCTGAGGGAATTTTAAAGATTCTTAAGCTACTGTTTGGAACTTGGATAATTCTGTACCATTTGTCTTCGGCAACCTTCCTAGCACGGCTTCCTGAGGGTTAATCTGCAATGTATCCTCTGCAGTTTTGGGGTGGAGCCTCTCTTGGATGAAAAGGAGTTAGAGGAAGCTCCATTTTCTGCAGCACGGTGTGACACCACCCATTCCTCTGAAAAAAAAAATAAAAACCAACCCCAAACCCAGCTAATGCAACAGGAAGGCTGGGGCAGCCTTCACTCCAGTGTGTACTGAAGCAGAAGGTGGTGAGGACCCAGTGAAACAGCTAAGCTGTTTGTATCCTCTGCAGGTGCCTGGGCAAGGCCACAGTTGCCCTGGGGCTCTGACAGCCTGGTTACGTACAGTAAACAGTGACAGCAAGAAACACAAGGATTGGTAGGCTGGCATTTCCCAAGGCCAGGAACTATCTCAAATGTCCTCTCCTAGCTCGACAGTCTTAGCAAATAGAGACTTCTGGAGTTGGCTGGTAGCAGTGTAACATTCTGGGAATCAGGCTGTATCATAGCACATTGTTTCCTTCCTAAATCAATACTTGTTCCTTAAATAACACTATTTTCAAGAGTCTGTGATCATTTGATTGCATGTTGCTGTTTGCAAAACACTCAACGATGCCAGTAATGAAGATTGAATTGAACTGTCTTTCATTGGTCTGGTCTTGGCTTGGCTTTTCCTTGGACTCCATCTCATTCAGAACTGATTACAGTCTAATTTAGTCATGAATGATGCCATGCACAATTTAAGTTTTAAAAAGGACACTGTTGCATTTAAAGGCAAATGATAGCCTCCAAGATGAGACTTTGAATTAAGGGGGGAATACTGAATTGCTACATTTAGTTCATAGTTCAGTGTTTGTTAAACCTTAGCTATATTGTTTTCTTAGAAATTCTTTGGGAGGACTGGACTATTAAAAGGCTTTAATAGAAATAAGCCTTATTAAATTAGTGGCTCATGGATACATGAAGGTGGTGGTGGGAAAGTTAACAGCTGGTGGCTTAATTTTTTTGGTTGCATTTTGGTGCTGTCAAAAACCCCTGTGCTTTGGAACATAAAATCCTTGCAACATTTCAAAGCCGTACAGAAATGATGAAAGAATAGCCCTAGTTCTCAGGGCCTGGAGATTGTACCCACGTGGCCTCTGCTCTTTTTACAGCAAAACTAGGAGTACTGACTAAATCCAATCTTTATGATGTTCAATATAATACCAATTGTACAATGGCTACTTAAAGCAAAGGGACTATGATCCAGTGGTGGTATGAAGGGTGTGGGATGGGAAGAAGCTGATACTGATGGGACCGTGTGACAGTATCAGCCAGCTGTGAGCAGGTTTCTGGTCTTCTAATACTGTCCTTAGTGATCTCTTCTGCTTTAGCCATCATCATTGGTGATCTCTTGCAACTAATGCAAAAGAACATCTGAAAGAGGAATCCATACACAATCATGGTCTAGTGACTTTTACTTGGGGAACAGTCCCTATGGTGGAAAGCAGGAGCTCACTCAAGGAAGTAGATGATCAAAAACAAGTGCTCTGTGAGCCTTGAAGCATTGTGTGAGCATGCTGGTCTCTTATGAGCATGTGTCCTGTCTGCTGGTGACTTTGCCTATGATTGATTTCTCTTTCAGATTGAAAGTCTCCCACCAGAGCTGTTCCAGTGCAGGAAGCTGAGAACCTTGAACCTGGGAAACAATGTGCTGCAGTCACTTCCATCCCGTGTTGGAGAGCTGACAAATCTGTCACAGATAGAGCTACGAGGGAACCGCTTGGAGTGCCTGCCTGTGGAGCTGGGAGAATGTCCTCTGCTGAAACGCAGTGGGCTTGTGGTAGAGGAGGACCTGTTCAACACACTGCCCTTGGAAGTCAAAGAGCGGCTGTGGAGGGCAGACAAAGAGCAAGCTTGAACCCCTGAAAAAAAGGGGAAAGCCTCTGACCAACTAGAAGGAAACAAAAGGCCATTCCAGTCCCCCTTTCCCTAGATCCTCCCCTTTCTCCTCTCCGATCACTACCAGACTAGCCAAGGAGTCCCTGAACAAACATGACTCTGAATGAGGCAGCTTCCGGCCTCAGATGCAGGATGGGGGAAGCTTGGGATCAGGCTGAGGATCAAGACAGATTAGTCGGCCTCTGAGCAAGGGCCAGTGGGAGTAAGAGGTGTTGCTGTTCTGGACAGGAAGTGGGGTGAAGTGGATGGTGCTGGTGAGAAGAAATGACCTTTCAATGGAGGAGAAAATGAAATGTGGGGATTGCTGCATTGCACCAAATGGGGCTTATACGTGTCAGGGACTGAGAGTGTCCAATGTCCTGCAAGCAAAGATCAAGAGACTAGGAAACCTCTTGAACCTCCATCTTTCTGTGACACCTGGTACTGTTCCCCTCTGACTTGGAGATTCCGTCAGTGAGGCCCCACAGTGGGGTGGGATAGGATACAGACAGCTGATTTTATCTAGATGCTGGCATTAGGATTTGGGGGATAAACTTATCTCAGACATCAGCTTGAATGCAGGATCTTTTTTTTACCAATTGTCTTTCCCCTTTGCACTCCATACCTTCTCCTCTGCCCCTGGAGAAGGAACCAAACCCCCCAAACTCTATCTGCCCATTTAAGATTGCACTATTTTAACAGTTTCAAGTCACTTGTGCTGATGAGTACATCACATAGCATCCTTCTCCAGCTGATCTGCTGGAGGCACTAACTGACAATTCTAGAGCGTTAGCCTGTTCTGAAATGGATGGTTATAGTGCAAGTGGGAGAAAGATCTGGATAAAAAGCAGTCGGACTGTCTAAGCTACTCTCCCAGAAGCACTGAGTTGCTTCAGGATCTGGCTTTTAACGTTTTTAAGCTACTTTTAAATTCCTGGTATTTTGTCACATATCAAATATGAACATACAACTGGCCAGTGTGTTGGGCTGTCTCCTGGGGTTGGTGGTGTTAAAGAGGAACACTCTGCTTTCCTCTGTACCTCTTGCCCCCTCCATTAAGTTGTTAGATGCTTTGCCAGTATTTTTCATGAACACAGGCTACAGAGATGCTTGATTCTTTTTTTTTTTTTCCTGTTGTCCTCCTCACTTTAACAGCTGTCAGTTCCTGTTACACCTCTTGACCTAAATAAGAGGTCAATGCTGATTGAACTTGGTGCTGGAAAAGAAACCTGTGCTCCTATTTCTTCCCCTTTTCATTCCCTCAGTGTTAAGGAGCAGTATAAGAATCCTCTGTGGACTGAACTCCTCTAGATTCCTGGGACAGAGCAGTCTATTGAAAAAGCCTGACCTGTTTGGTATTGTTTGACAAAAAGCTCAACCTTCTGTACTGGCAGAGGTAGCGGAGTTGTAATAGCTACCGATAATCATGGCTTTAAGGTGGGGTGGTTAGGGTGTGCCTACGATACATCCTAAGTTTGCTCTTTTCCATCAGAAGGAAGAGGAGGCTCAAGGACCTGCAGGTCCTAATTGTAATATTTGGCATCAGACCAATAGGCTGGCTCCAAGTTGGAGTGCTGCAAGCTGAGGCATGAGAAGTTTGGAGGCCTCCCATGTGTACAGAAGGGGGAAGCTGCAGCCATCTCCAAAGTGGTTTCTGGCAAGCTGCCAGTGAGTGCCCTGGCTTAGCAAATCATGGTGATCCCTTGGATGTTGGGGCAATAAGGCAATGCTATGGCTTTTTTCATCAGATGTAAGATATGAAATATATACACTAAACATGCTGAAACCATGAACAATGTTAACGGGGCTCTGGATTTGTTGATGTTCAGATGCTTAAATAAAGCTATGTTAAAATCCAGGAGATCTGTTTATAAAACTGCTTTTAAGAAAGATGTAAATTCTGCCTCCCTTAGTCCATTCATTATGAAAAGCTTAAATGGTCCAGGGAATAATATAATTAAATCTCTTTATCTGGAAGGCAAGGTACTGTAAAAGCTCTTGTTTCTAACAGTGTTAGTGACTTTAAATTGTGTTAGAGTTGGGGCCACTGCTGAAAGGATGGGGAAGTATTGATGCTGATGCTTCTTGGATTGTACTTGTTCTATTTGCACAAGCATTTTGGATCAACAGAGAGGGCAGACATTGCTAGGTGGGCTTAATGCTTCTTAAGTAAAGCAGCAATGGCTTCAGGCTTAGCTACAGTAATACTGTTTTCCAGTCAGTTCCTCATGATGGGTGTGAGGGCTGTTTGGATTGTGAAGGAAGCTGGCTTTTTCCTTCCTCTATACCAAAGGATAGTGCTGGACAGTAGTGGCTATAGAACAGAGGCTTGAACTCTGTTTTGTATTCAAGGCCACTGGGTAACCGGTTTACAACACATGTATTTTAGCCTAGGCAAGGCTGAAAGGACAGCAGCTCACTGGATTTTCACCTAGCATACAGGAGCAGAGAGGTTTCTTGTGTATGTCTAGATCATTGTAGAAGAGTGCTCTGACTCGATTCTAGTTGTGGTCTTAGTTATGCAAACTAAACTTTACGCAGCTACATTAGAAGTTTCTATAAGCAGCTCCTGAAAGTATGCTGCATTGCTTCTAGAAGCTTGCAAGCCTCCTGAACTGCCATGTATTTCGGAGCCGGGTCCATTGGACAAGTGGGCAATAGGCTATTCTGCTAGAAGCCAGAGACTGGCTCTAACTTCTAATCAAGTAACAGAGCCATACTCCTGCTGCTTGCTGAGTAGAGGCTGCCCATGCCTGAGGTCTACAAAGCAATTGTAAGACAGCCCAGTGCTGATCATGCATGAAAACACTAGCTTTTTGCTGCTCTTACAATATTCCAAGCTCATTTTTTTTTTTTTTGGTTGTGGCTGCTAGGTCTTGAGATCGCTTCCTCTGTGGCAAAATTGGGATAAACAGTCTGACAATTTCTTGTACCAGAAACACAGGTGGCACAAAAATACATTGCCACTCTGGAAAACAGCAATATGTATTATTTACTCCTGATATGTGCTTCTTGGTCTTCCTGCAAATAGATACTGATTCCAGAGTATCAGTCTCGTATGATGAGATGATGGAAGAAGCTTTAAAACTTCAAGGATAGAGTCTAAACCATGAGGTCCTGAATGCGTCTACTCAGGACTCCTCAACCCACAGCAGAGTGAGTCATCCACTTCCATTACGTGTCTGGATTGCTCAGTCTTTGAGGGATGAGCTTACGTCAACAATCCTTCCCCATTTGCAAGTATTCAATCAGTGTGTATTCTATTTTTTTCCTTTAAGTTTCCATCAAACTGAAGTTTAGGGGTTATTTCTGACATCAGTCTGTATGTTCAGAAAAAAAGTTAATGTAAGCAGACAATCAGCAGTCTGTTCAGTGTCTTGTTCTCCTGACGGGCTTTTCAAAGCACTCTAGTAGTAGCAAACCAGATTATTTATTAGCTGCTAAACCATACGACAACTTGAATTAAAACCAACAACTGTTTCCTTAATAGCACTTCTGAGCTGAGTGAGTTCTTGAAGCCCCTGTAGATCACAAGCACGCTCATCCCATGTTAGGACTGAATGTTAGTAGTTAGGAATTCTACCTTTCCTGCTAAATACCCCAAAAAGTAGTAAGTTGCAACTAATTATTTTGAACCAGGTGAAAGGCAAGGAATACCAAACCTATTAAATGTGTTAAAGCTGTATCTCTGAAACTATGCACTGGAACGTTAGCTGAAGTTGTTCTTTGTTTAAGATTGTTTTCTGACTTTTATTATTGGGTCCCTAGTTAATTCAGCAGCTGGAATTAATTTACTCTGCCAGTCTGAATGATTAAATAGCTGTTAGAGGTATCTTTCATCATGTGGTGTTTTTTGGTATTAATTGTCACTTCCTGATAATATCCTACCTCATTTTTTAATTTTTTCTTATTACCATTTATACAATTCATTTAGCTCACTTCATTTTAATTAAAGTAAGTTCTTGGTGTTCATTACCATAAATAGTATTAAGTGGCTTTCTGTTGCTGAACCACACTGAGATCCTTTTTTAATGTTTGCTTGTTTTTCCTCTCTAACAAATGATTCTAGAAATTTTGAGAACAATAACACGTCTTTTGCAGAGGATGAGGTGTATGGAAAAAGTTTCAAATATTATGGATTCAACAGCTGTGATGGATTCCTTACCTCTCTTTCTGCTTTGGGAAGGGGACTAGCATGGTTTGAGTTCTTTGGATTTTTTTTTTTTTTTTTCAGTCCTCCTTCGGGGGGGGATAACTTTTTTTTTTCATCATTAATAGCTGTGCCTTCTCTAGAGATACATTAATGTAGCTTCTCCACAAAGGCACTTGCTCCTTCAAATGCATTTGTAATCATCTCTGCCTGAAGCCAGCTATTCCCTCTGATTCTTTTTCTTTCAACCATGGAGAGGTTTCTTAACCTTTGGCGTGACTTCTCACTGACAAACAACATTGTCATACCATAAACAGTAGCGTCACCTACTCTGAAATGTTACCTAAGGTCAGGCTGTGTGAATCCTAACTAGTAAAACTATTGCTTAAACTTCACTTTGATTTTTTTTTTCTTGTTGCATTTTAATTCCTGCCCCCCACCCCCCCGCTTAGCCATACAGTGGATCCTGTAGTTTTACCAAGCATGTGCCAAAACAGAGTAAGTTTTCTGTCCTACCTGCATTCTAACAGTGCATGAAGCAGAATTGGAACTGGGCAAGAGTATTGTTTGACTCGGACCTTTCTCCCTCCATCCCTCCAGCTGCAGTGGTAGGTTAATATTAAACAGCTTTGGCAGTATGAAATCTTCCAGAAATCTCATCTCTGAAATCCCTTTTCAAACGTAGCTGTGCTTGAATCGCTGGACCCCAATAGCAAAGGTGAACTTTGTGTGAATCCACACAAAGAAAGGCTTAATTTAGGATTTCTGGAATTACCCTTCTTCCCTCTTGGTTTCCTTTAAAGGAAGTTTATGGAACAATGGGGGAAATTTTTCTCGAGGAAGCTTAATGAGAAGGGGGCTAATGAGCCTGAGTCATCTTTTACAGCTGTCAATGTGTCCATTTAAGTGAGACAGTACTCATGGCTTAAACATTGTTCACTCCCATTTTGTAAATGTACGAGCAGGGTTGTGGTTTGGCATCAGAGATCTGCGACTTGATGTAACATTTCAGAATCATGACATTCACTTTGTGTGTGGGATTGTTTGGGCAGCTGATCAACAGCACCTCCACCTTAAGCACTGAAGGCTGCTATTGTTTGCTCTGAGAGACTTGTAAGACTGGACGCTTCAACAGAATAAAAGTTTTAATTTTTAATTTGCATTTTCCTTTTATGTCTGCTTTCTTTTAAGTTTTTCTGTATGCAAAGGCACTCGGCCTTTCACTATCTCAATTTTCAGAAGACAGATGTAATAATTCCAACTATTGTGTAGGATTATTGGGGTTTTTTTACTTGTCACATGAGTCCTTGTGGATTATGACATTCCTTTATGAATAGGCAAAAAGTAGATGCACAGCAAAAGAGGTCCTGCTCACTGACAAGCCTGGACTGTCTTACATATTTCAGCGTCACTTTAACAAATGGCTGATATGGTTTACATTGCCAAACGTAAGACTGCTGGAGTGTTGTCTACATGGTCCCATAGACGCTTGGTTGAGTTTTCAAAATGCATATTGTGCTCTCCTTCCCTAGGAAAGGGATAGGGACTGAAGTCAATGGAGGAAACTGCCTGTTGCCATAGAAATAGTGCCTTCAGCCAACTGCTGGTAACAAATGATTTAAGTGTGTTTCCTAACTGTCTGCTACTTTTTCAACTGAAAATGCGGGCAGATAGCATCTTTCCGAACTGAGGGCATTCATGATGTGTTACAGAGAATCAGCCTGTAACTTTCAAAGGCAGCTTGAGTTTCTGTGCAGCTCGTTTATTGTATAGAAAGGTATTTCTTGTGTGTTTTGCCTTTCCTCGCTTCCTCTGTCCAAGACTACTTGACCAGGGTGATGTTGGCCCCACTTCAGTGACAGAAAAGGTGAGCAGGCTGTGATACTGTGTATTGGCATTGATGAATCTTAATGAAATGCTTAGCAGGCCTGAACCGAGAAAGGAGAGGACAAAATGTCCCTTGTCACCTAAGGTTCACTTGGACTGCAGCTCCTTTTGGCAAGGATTTACCAGCTCTTTGAATAGCTGAGCAAAAGGAAAGAATGAAAGGTACCATTAAAGCAAACTGGTGCTTGCTGGATTCCTGCAGGACTGAATACAGTGATGGGGAAAGAGCCCAAGGCTAAAGAACTGGTCTTTGTTGGGAAAAAGACTTTTAATCCTGGTAATTCCAAATTTACTACGCAGCTTGCTGAAAAACATAAAGATGCAGTAGAGGCAGCTAGAATGATATTGGGTTTATTCCAGTAAAATCCTCTAGCCCTGCTGCACCATAAGCTTTTTACCTTGCTGATTTTGTTTTTACCTGTTGATGACAGAATTCTCTTCATGGAAAATCACTGCATTTCTGAGGCTTCTGGTAACTTGAAGGAAAGGACAGCTAACACAGGGAAAACAAAAGTATTGAAGTATCTGTGCCATTTTAAATGCTAATATACTATTTAATGTAACTGAAATACTCATTATGGTTATTGTTGTTCCTGTGCTCCTTGTTTCTCATTAAATATTCTGTTATTTGTTACTGATCATATCAAAGACTTCAGGAGAGGTGATGAGAGATCTAGCTGAAATTTTTGCTTCCCTAATAACCCTGGCAGCTCTAGCAGCAGTGATTTTTGGCGAGAGAGCTGAGCTGCTTAAGCTGACTCCGGAGAACTGGCAAGCTGGCGTGGCTCCAAATGGTTTCAATAGGAACTCTTAGTGAGGAGGAAATTAGGATAATCATGCCAGTCAAAAAGGCATTTGAAACACTTGTGCTTTGTCTGCTGCAGGGCTGTCCATGTTCCGATGCCACTCACTCCTGTACCTTTCACACAGACATGGGGTGGGCTTTGGCAGCCTCCAATGGAGTTTGCCAGAAGTGCAGTTTTCTTGCAGAGCTGGCAGGAGAAACTGTTTAAGTCTGCAAAAGAGCTCTCTGAGAGGGAGAAAGGGAAGGAAAAGGGGATCATTTCCCAGTTTTGTCCCAGTACTTTCTACCTTCCTTATTTAAACTTACTGGAAGAGAAGGTATTTACGAAGATGACATCCTTCTCTTTGACTTTTTTTGGGCATTATGTGGCAGGGGTGGTTTTCTTCTTCGTGAAAAGGTCTTTCTAAGCCTCGAGATAGGAGCACGCCTGGAGTGGCAAAGAACTGGAGGACTCCTAAGGACAGACACTGATGAACGCTCCTCTAACCACGATGGGTTGCTGCTCCTAGTTTATTCAATGTTATCATCTGTGTTTTGTTGTGTTCTGCGATCTGCTGTTTATATTGCTCAAAACAATCCGTAGAACAGGAAAGCTGTGGTTTACTGTCATGCATCTGAACTAAACCAGACCCTGAAGTCATCAAGTGTGTGTAAGGTGGGGAGTGGAGAAGATGACGTGCTAAATCGCCGGAAAAAAAAGGTCACTGGGAGTGAGAAGTACATGACATCACGAATGACGGAGGCAATGCAGAGAGGGGCTGAGGTGTGGCACGGGAGCGTGTGTGGTGTAGAAGGCATGTTTCTCCAGGATTGCTGCCTCCCGGTGAGGGGGGAGGTGGGTCCTCATGAGATTGACTTACAGGCAATAGCTACAGCAGGGTGTGTTTTCCACTGGTTACACATCTTCCTTAAAAACACTTCAGCTCCATCAGTTGGTGAGAGTCCTTTAACAGGAAGGAGGAACTACTTGGTTAATTTTTTGGGGTTTTGCAGCAATGGAGGTTGGCTGTTTTCCCCTCTATGTTTGTAGCCCAGTGGTTAAAGTCTGGCAAAATTCGGCTTTTTAAACTACTGAATTCATATCCTCTTGTGTGCAGAGGAGAGCTTGAAAATAAGCTGTAAATGCTCAAAAAAGAAAACACTGATTTCTCTTTTCATTAAAACTCAAAAAAACCCCTTTAATAAGATGGGGAGAGATTTTTATCCAGAGTTGATTCCCTTACAGAATAGAGGACTATTTTTTTAAGACAACTTCTCTTTAAGATGGGTTTTTCTTTTTTTTTTTTTTCAGTTGCTAGCAAATATATTTGGAAGCAAACACCTTCCCATGAGCATTTTGCACTTCCTCATTTTGTTGGGGTTGTTTTTTTGGCTAGGTGAGTGATGCGTCAAACCACCCCCATGATGTTATTTCTTTGTGGAATGCTGCTGAAAGGATGTTTTCAGTGTTTCCTGCAAGAGCCAAACACTTTTTTTTTTTTTTTTCCTCTCTGGAGAGAAAAATCCCCAAGGATTCCCATGTGATGGGAAGGATGTGTTGGTGGGGAGCGCCACCGCTGGGCTTGTATCTCTTCTTTTTTTTTTTTTTCAGTTGCTAGCAAATATATTTGGAAGCAAACACCTTCCCATGAGCATTTTGCACTTCCTCATTTTGTTGGGGTTGTTTTTTTGGCTAGGTGAGTGATGCGTCAAACCACCCCCATGATGTTATTTCTTTGTGGAATGCTGCTGAAAGGATGTTTTCAGTGTTTCCTGCAAGAGCCAAACACTTTTTTTTTTTTTTCCTCTCTGGAGAGAAAAATCCCCAAGGATTCCCATGTGATGGGAAGGATGTGTTGGTGGGGAGCGCCACCGCTGGGCTTGCATCTCTTTTTCACTCTTCTGCTTTTTAGATCTAGTTTCTGCATTTTCTCTCTCTGGTTTGAACTGTGGCTTTGGGTTCACCTGTTTATGTGCACATTTGGAGCTGCAGGAGAGTGAAGTGAGCAAGTGAAGGTGCGCATCGCCAAAGAGCAGCTGTGAATGGAAAGAACAGGTATGTTTGCTATGAATTTTATCAAACCCTTACCAAAAGCTCTTTAGCTTTAATACCTTTTAGTCTGCCATTTGTCATCTCCTGGGTTGCTGGAGTCCCTTTCAGGTGCTGAAGCACTGGCAGGACTTGTTGACTGAGCAAAAAGGGCTCTGCAGGAGCCTGAATCGCCACTTTTAATTTGTTTTAAAACTTTTAGATCTTTTCATCCCACTTGAATCTTATTTTACCTCCCTTATCTTGTTTTACCACTGTGTTTACCAGCTTAACTGCTCTTTTTTTAAATCTGGGTTATTAATTAAAAGAGTTGTTCCTCCTTGGAGTTAAGTGAATCAAGTTTGTGATCACACTTGAGCAGAATGCTTTTGTGCACTTTAAGTAGTACCAAGAGCCAAAGCAAAACTCTGCAGCCCTGCACGTCCCCACTGGGAAGAAACGACCAGAAATGGGGGCAAAATTCCTTGAGAGGTAACTCCACCGGCTGTGCAACCATCCGGCTGCCCAGCGCTTGCTGTTATCACATGCCGAGGAAAGGATCACGTGAAGAGGCGGAGAGTCAGCCCTGCAGAGCTGGGGTGGCATCGTCGTCTGGCTGGTGGGATCCTGGGAGCTTCTGCCTCTGATGGCGTCTGTAACCCAGCATCAGATCCAACAGGTAAGGAACTGCACCCCGGGGAAGGAGCGTGCCTAGTGCAGGCAGGTGACACTACTTGTAAGACATGGTCACTACTAGTTAACCCGTGACCAGGTCTAGCAAAGATCTGCTTTACAACACTTTATATTCTTCTCAGCTTCTTGCATTGCATTCATTTTGAACGTGTGAGGACCCTGTTGTGGCTACAAACTTCTCCAGAAGGCAGCTTATCCTGCAGAGCTCTTGGAGGAATTTCTCTTGTGCCCTTCTGTCTCTGCTACTCAGTTCTTATCCGTGAAGTTGAAATCTGCCTGTCAAGGGATAATCTCTAGGGTATTCTATATAAAGAAACAGTAATGCCAAGAGTTCACTTCATTTTGTAAGGGAATGTGTAGTCAACCGCAAGAAATCACCCAGGGATTTTTCCCTTAGAGAAAACAATGCTTTGCAGTTTGTAAAGGAATTTCATTCTTATTTGGAATCTGGGTATGACCGCTCTGAGCCTATTAGAAGGCTTTGTAATTTAATAGTTGCTGGTCATACATTTTAGGTAAGATAACCTTAAGCCACAAAGGCTCTAGCAATGATATCTTCTCTGCTTTGTGGACTGGGGGGTTGAGGTGTGTTGTTCTTTACTGTATGGAATCTGAGCCTGTTAATGAACTACCTTTTTTACAGTAGAAACCCCTCCTGAAATTAAAAATTAAGAGCAGATTGTCCAGCTGCTAGAGCTGAAGCTGGGATGCTTTTCACACTGAGCTGAGGCACAGCAAAGGGCCAGAACTGTGTTCTCTTGCTTTGCACTGCTTCCCTTGAGGACTCTGGAGGAGAGCAATCACCCTGTCTCTTCCAGTTCCGTGAGGATGGCTTCCTTGTCCTAGAGCATTTTTTCACTGCAGAGGAGTGTGACAGCATGAGGAAGCAGATTCAGAGAATCATAGCGGAGATGGAAGTGCCGCCGCACTGCCGCACCGAGTTCTCTACCAAGGAAGAGGAGCAGCTCCAGGTGCAGGTACTGAGAAGGGCAGGGCTGTCCCTGCTGGAGCGCTGGAAGGAGAAAGGGAAAAGGCAAAAGGCAAATAGCTGCTCAGGATTCACTCCGGCGGGGATGAGACTCTTTCTTTTAACTGAACATAATGCTGTGAGAGGCGTTTGCTCTCCACCTTTCTACAAACGTTTGCCGGTGGCCTTACCGGAGGGTGAAGGAGGAAAGGGTGTGTGTGGCTCTGCTGTCCTTTCAGCCCCCCAACAATTGCCCCTGGTAGCCACAGGCAGCTCTCACAGCTCACTTCGTACTCATTCTGTAGACAGTAAATAGGTTATTTTCCAAGCAGCCAGCAAAGGCAAAGCAAGGGTGGCCTCTGCGTGAGAGGTTTGTGTAAAGTCCTAATCAATGCCATGAGATTTAGTATTGTAGAAAGCCTTTGTATGAGTGACTTCTGTTGACTGTGTTTTGTTTATGCTGCGGCTTGATGGGGAAAAAGATGCAGGTGAGTATTAGACACTTTGATCAAAGGCTCATTTATGCTTTTACAAGGATACGATTTTTACTGGGCTCTTACCCCTGGCAGGGTAGCTCGGATTATTTCCTAACCAGTGGAGACAAGATTAGATTCTTCTTTGAGAAAGGCGTTTTGGATGAGAGAGGTAAGCTCCAGCCTGAGTTAGCCAAGGGAGGGGACGGGGACTGTTTTCCAGCTCTAGGGATGATTCCTGCTTTGCAAACAATGTTAAATTCTGGTTTTGTTTTGTAGGTAACTTCCTAATTCCAAAAGAGAAATCCATCAGCAAGATTGGCCATGGTATGTTTAAAGGATGGGGTTTTGAGAGAGATGGACAAAAGGGATGTGACTTTCAGACATGAGGAGTTTTCCAGACCCGCTCACTATACATAACCTTGGCCATCTGAGTCGAAAACTTGGAGCAGGGAAGTGACTTCTTCCCTCTTGTGTGGCTTCTCTGTGCCTCAAATATCTCAAACCTCCCCCCCTCTCGCCACTGTGGCCACACAGCTCCTGTCATTCCAACCCCAGGCTGTTTTACTCTGGGATTCTGTGTTAAATTCTTCAACTTGATTTCTACATGTCAGTCTGCTTTTCCCCCTGTCACTCTGTCAGTGTCTCTGCAATTCCCTCCGTGCTGTCCCCTTGCTCTCTGCTGTCAGAGGACTTAAAAACCTTCCATTACGATCCTTTTCAAAAAACCCTTCTAGGAGGTTGTTCAGTGATGCATAGCTCGGAGTCACTGACATGCAAAAGTTTGGACTTCAGCCCTTGCCTCTTTCATGGAAGAGATTGCTCTAATAAATCTACTGCCCAAGACCGGTCACATTCAGTACAGATCAAACTGTGTCTTCTGCGTCCTGTGCAGGGCTGGGTTGCCAAGGCTGAAACCGTTCTCCCTCCGCTGGTGTCACCAGTGCCTTTTCTTTACCCTTACTGGTTTCAGTTTGACCTATTTCCTCTCTCCCAGCTACCGAACTTGCGTTTTGATTCCTTTTGTTTTCAAACAATACATGGAAAAAGAGAGCAGGATCCGCTGCATCTCCAAATGCGTGAACTTTGTTCAGACTAAACTTCACTAAACTTGGAAGTTCAGTACTGAGAGTTCTCAGTGCTTTGGTTTTCTCAGAAAAACTCCCTCCCTTTCCCTGCCCCCTGCCATTCTGTTACACTTCACCTTTTCCCCAGGGGAAGTGAAAACCACTGTAGATGCCTGCTGACTCAGCAACTTAACAATTCAAAAGGCTTCTTGACTTAATTTTTTTTTTTTTTTTTGGTAATTACTACTTTCGGTCGAGTCATCTCTTCCCTTGCTTGGGAGCAGCCCCTGCTGGACCTGGTTGTGTATCTTCATGGCAAATTTGATCATGATGAGGTGGAGGCATGATTCTGAGTCTTCGCTTTACGATTTTGTCAGAGCTGGCCTGTAGTGAGTGTCTGTGTGCAAACAGCTATGGGCCCTTTTGCAGTAATTACTTTTTTTTTTTGGTAGGTCTTAAGAAGTGTCTTTTTAAAGGGTGAATTCACCTACGTACCTTGGGGTCATGTATAGTGGTTGTCATGTTAGCATTTGTATAATATAATACTTAATCACATAATACTCAATTTGTGTTCACCTTTATACACTGTTTTTCATATAGCTGCAGTTTGTGGCCAGTGAGTAATTATATTTTTGGTCTCTGAAGAAGATTGTACAAATCTACAAGTGTTGTATCACCTTAGGCCTGGTAAGCCATGTGTGTCCACTCTTGGGAAGGATAAAAGTTTCTGGCTACAATTTATCTTGCTTGGTTGTTGGCTCTGCAGCTCATCGTTGAGAACTGCCAGGTTCCCTTCTGTTAATGATCAATCTGAGCCTTTTCTTCCCCTTTAGCTTTACATGCTTACGATCCTGTCTTCAAGCAAATCACCCACTCCTCCAAGGTGCAGGTGAGCTGTTACTGTTTCCTAGAATGGTCTGGGAAAAAAAAATAAATTATGGAGAAGTCAATTTTCTAGACTCCCAAGGATAGTAATTTTTTCTGTAAAAGAAAATTTAAATACCTTCAAAGAATGATGCTTTATAGTGTGCAGAAAACAGCAAACATAAATCTTGGAAAGTCTTCTTGCAGGAATTGGGAAGAAAACTAGGCCTTGAGAGACCAGTAGTTGTGCAAAGCATGTACATCTTCAAGGTACAGTAATTCAAGCCCTCTTGTTGCTCAAGTAATAAGATACTGTTAGGTGGGAAGCTGTGAAACTTCTCTTCACACGTCACCTTTCTTTCCTTGCAGCAACCTGGCATTGGTGGTGAAGGTGAGATTCGTATTATCTCTATATCACACTGCAGATAACACTCCTTTAGGAAAGGAATATTACGGGGAAAAAGGCTCAGAATCAGACTTAAGCCTGTGAGTTTTGTGGTCCAAGCCTTCTTAAAATTATTAAAAAGCATCCACATTTTCCAGAATTGTTTTTACATGGTATGCAACTTGAACAAAGAGCTACTTTTACATTTGCAGCAGGCTGAAAGGTGGTATTTTTATGTCAGATTTAATGTGTGTGCTGGATAGGTGGGCAGGGTAGGTCAGGTCAAGATGTCGGGGAGAAACAAGCCTGCCATCCTTCTAGTGGTACCGAATTCCTCAGGTGTTAAAAGACCTTAATGACAGCGTCTCATTGCAGTGACCCCGCATCAGGATGCCACCTTCCTGCACACGGAGCCTCTGGGCAGAATCCTGGGGTTCTGGATTGCCCTGGAGGATGCCACGCAGGAGAATGGCTGCTTGTGGTTCATTCCGGGTTCTCACACCAGTAAGAGTTGTGATGGTTTGGTGCATGCTGTGAAATGTGCTCCCTTGTTGTGATTAAGGGTGGAGGGTAACATGGACCGTGTTTATGTTCCCTGCATCGCGCAGTGCCTGCAGAAACACGCTACTGATCTTGTTTGTTGAAAGGATGACTTTACTTACTGCATGGATCTCCCCCTGTGCTGTTGTCAAATCTACAACCACATTTTTCAGCAGGTTATTAACTGCTTCACTTTGCTCTTGGCCACCAGCCCATCACGAGTCTAATATAACAATATTTTAAAATAAAAAAGTATGTAGTGTACATAGCTGACACTATGTTTAGTTTTAAGTTGATAGAAACAAAGAATCCAGGGTACTGGGGCAAGAAAGGACAGTCCTCCTGATTTTTTACTTACTCCAGAACCTGTTAAGGGGAGACCCATTAAAACTGCTCCTAAATCTTTTCTTTCCACTTCAGTATTATTTCAGGAGCTTCACCTGCAAGATTCAGTCTTCCCTGCCAGGCCACTGAGATTTAAAACTTTAATGTACAGAAGGTCTTAAACTACTGGGTCCTTTCTTCTCGTAGTGAAACAGGTCATTGCCATGCATTGGTGCTCCTTCCATTGCAGCCTTGAAAATGCTCATCAAGTCTGAAGAGTAATAATCCCTCTTTTGCCTTCCAGAGTAGGAATACACTGAGAAATCACTCTGTTTCTTTTCTTTTTATATTCCCCTCCCTCCCCCCCCCCCATCCAGTCTGCTCACAAAACTGTTTATTTTCCAGGTTGCATCCCCTCCACAAAGATCCCTTTTTTTGCCCTGGCCGAGAAAATGTTTAGACCTGACAGCCCTGTGTGGGAATAAAAATCCTCTTCCACACACGCAGAGCTGTCAAATATTGGTCTGAATTTCAGTAAACAAGGAAAGCCTCTAAGTCTATGCAAGGATCACCTGGACACCATCCAAGCCATTGGAGAACAGTCAGTGTCCCAGGGGAACACACAGACAAAACCAGATCAGCACAGACTCACTTAATGGCTGTTGTGACCAAGGGTAGTTGCTCTGTGTGTAACCACTATTGGATTACCAGCAGTTTTCTGTCTTGCAGCACCCCTAGGGCACACTAATCACACTAATTTAAACTGTTGCTTTCCTAAGCGTTCACTCAGTGAGTGTAATCATAGTGCTCTTAAGATTTTTTTTTAAGGTGCTCATCTGTCATAAATTCTGGAGTCAGCTGCACTCTGATTGCAATTTATGCTCATATAGAAAGGAGAAATGGACCAAAGGTTGGCTTTGCATAAGTGTGTGGCTGTTTGTGTTCCTAAAGGGCTATGTTGCAATGCACAGAAAGAGCCAGAAAGGCAAACAAAAGGCAGTTGTTCATCAGTTTCTGCCACAGCTGGAAAACTCTAAACCTTTGCTTAATGAAAAAACCCCACCCAAATTACTAAGGAAAAAATTTAATATGCTATAGTAATGAAGTTCCTGTCATTACCAAGAGAAATTGCGATATTGTTCCTCTGTGCAGAACATAGCTAGCTGTTTAATTTTTATGTGTGTTTGCTTATTCTGTGGATTTGCAGGTGGAATTACTCGGAGAATGGTCCGTGCAGCTCCAGGTGCCTCAACACGTGTAGAATTTGTAGGGTCAGAGCCAACCTACGATAACAGCCGGTTCATACCTCTGCCTATAAATAAAGGTAAAACCAACCCCCGACCAAGTCTGATTTACAGCTCAAGATAAACAAGAGAGCTAAAATTGGATTGTCACACTTACAACTTCCCTTACATTCTAAAGCTAGCACTCACAAATTGAAAAAGCAGTACGGATGTTTCTTTCAAACAGGTGGGCTCATTCTCATCCATGGTGAAGTCGTCCATAAGAGTGAACTGAACAGCTCAGAATCTTCTCGCCACGCATTCACCTTCCATGTGATGGAAGCCAAAGACACCAGCTGGAGTAAAGAGAACTGGTAACGTTGCCATCCTAACAAACAGCTGAGGGAACAAGAGCCTTTTCAGTGCAATAGCCAGGATAAACTTTTATTGGTGGTTTTGCATGTCACAGTTTCTGTTGGTGGTACCTCAGTTAGCATTGATTTCATACCCATAGAACTGGAGTAGCCTCTGAAGTTTTGTTTTTACCTCTTCCTTACTTCCTAGGCTCCAGCCAACTCCTGAACTGCCTTTTCCATCGCTCTACACTTGAAGTTAGTGATTGGCTTCTGGAGTCAATAGCTGATCAATATTCCTTTCTGATCATTCGTTCATGTTCTCTTTCAATACAACTTTCACTAGATCAGCTCTCAAGATTAATTTATCCTCTTCTCGGAACGAGGACCCTTGACATTGCTGAATATACCAGCGTTAGACAGAAGCTTCTACTACAGCATGAGCCCTGCTAGCATGAGAACGGTCGTCCAGTCCTTTTGATATGGAAACTTCTTTCGTCTTGAGAATAGACTGTTAAAGGCAATTGCACCTTGGCTGGGACCAGATAAGAAGTGTTTCTTCTTGCAGATACTCAGCATTTTTTTCTGTTTAAGCCAAGAGCACGTCTGGTGCATTTCTTGGCTGTGTCAATCCCAGCAGTGCAGGTGAAGGTGTCATGTGAAGATGGCTGACTTTTACCCTTAGGTCCCTGTGCTGTTGTTTGGATTATAGTGATTCAAATAATCCTATTGTGGGCAAAATGAATCAGGAAGTCTACTTTTGTAATCAATCTTCTAAGTATTTCCAGCAAACTGAGTGTTTGATCTCTGGGGTTGTGTTGATTAAAAATATTACAGTTCTTAAAGATTCATGTTGAAATTATGAAAGCAAAAACCCCCAATGAAACTCCTAACATTTAATTAAAAATATATAAATTCTCCTTTTCATTTCCCTCATCTTTTCTTTGAGGAAGACACAGTGTGACCTTCTCCCAGCAGACAGGGGTAGTGCTAATTTGTCAGATGAGTGGTCTGAACTCTCAATGTGCACAAGAACAATTACTATCCCCCAAGCCCCACAAAACCAAACCAACTTACAGCAAGGTGAAACCTAAGGACTGTTAAGAAATGTAAATCACATCTGAGGCAAGCTCAAGCCTGTATCCTAAACTGAGCAGAAGCAGTGTAGGTGTAACTTCACTGGCACTGGTGCAGTGGCAAGCCTGAGGTATGAGCCCGGTCTCATCAATGCACTAATTGCATTGTAGTAACCTTAAGATTGCTCGGAGTCCTGGCAGAGTGAGCCCCAGTTCTTACTGACTCATCCCTTTTAAAAGTATGTCGCCTGTCTCTGGCCTTTGTTTGATGAGAAATAGTCAAATTTGGTTTCTTTCAGCCCTTTGGGCTTTGCTGGGCAATGCAGAATAGGTTTAGTGCAGCAAAGAATTCATCACAGAGGAACGATCCGGTGGCTGTAGTAGGAATTAGGCAGCTGGGTAACGGCACCAGCAGTAACGTTCGAAGTTTCTGCAGGTATGGCTGCTGCCCTTCCCTTATCTTTTCTACAGTTTGTTGGAAAGTTGTGAGTGGGGTGGAGGGGAAGTGACTTCCTTTAACTCTGGTGCTATTTTATGGTGTTAGTGGTGAGGGCTGCGGCTTGTGATGGCAGCAGCTAAAGCTTTTCCTGTATCATTCCATTAGAAGAGTTAATAATTTAGAATTATTATGAGAATTATGAGGAGCGATAGTTTGTCCTCTGATTATATGCATTGCGACCTGCAATGTACAAACACACGTAGTTCAAGTGCCTAAATAAAAGCAAGAAGCTGGATTGGATTTGCAGGATTTCCTGTTAAATGTGAGGGGAAACTCCATCTAGTGCAGTTACTGAGTTTGGTTTCCTACAAAGATTACCTGACAATTTATCACATCATAAACCAACTCCGGATGATTTTGACAACCTCAGGAAAATTAGTTAACATGGCTCAGGAGCTCTGCCCAGGCAGGGGGGTAAACTGGGGGACAGAGCCTCTCGGCTATTCGAGCCCTGGCTTGTTGCAGGGACAAACACAATACTAGATTCTGGAGCCAATTTTGCTGGCTGAGAGCACTGGTTTCACTCCACCCCAGTCTTATTCTCACTCCTAAGACACAATCTCATGGCTAGGACTGCAGGACAGTATTGTGTAAGGTATTGTGGACTCACACAAAACTGTTCCCAAAAATGAATAGAAGTGTCAGAAGTTAACTTCATCCTGCAAATGAGAATCCTGGAATGCAAGTCTGCTTGGACACTTCTCAGGGGAAGGGAAGAGGCAGGGTGGACAGGTGCTGATGTGTCTTGTTCTAATGGACACTTGGCAAACTGGCGAGAAGAGATTGTCAATACAGAAGGATTTTATACGTAAAAATTACAGGTGTGTTTTGGCCACAGGATAGTTATAATTTTAATTAAATGGACAGAATTAAATGGCTTTACTCAACTTGTTTATAAAAGCATTTTAAAATTATTTGATTGAACAGCTAGCTGAAAAAATATAAGTAGAAAACTGCAATAGTATTAAAGAAGTTTATTGACTTTAACAGATTTTCTTCTTTCATGACTAATGTGTAATTATTTTTTCTGTGACTTTGCTTAGTGTTTTTCCCCTACATTGAATATTATTCAAAATGAATTTAGAGATTAAAATCTTGAAGGACATTTTTCTTGTTGCACAAATCTCCAGGGCTAAAACCGCATCTCTCTTGTTAGCACTGTTTTGGAATAGTTTCTTACATTCTCAGACTTCCTGCACCTGTCCCAGATAAACTTAGCTATTATAGCTCCTGAATTTGAAGTTGTGTTTATCCATTGCAGTGCATTAGTATGGTCTTGTTGATGGTGACTGGATACGTTGGGACAGTCGTATTCACTTTGTGGAGAGGGTGGCCACCCTCATTATAAAACGTGCTTTAAATGGCCCTCATACAGAAATGAGGAGTTTGCATATGCAGTAATACAAGACAGCAGGGCTCCGTACAGTAAAAAAAGTTTTGGCTCTGATGCAATGCAGAGGTGGCAAAATCTGAGAGCTTTGCTTATTTTTTTTCCTCCCATTGACTTGCCTCCTCTTCCTCTACCTCCTTTGCCTCTGAGCACCCAGAAGAGACATAGAAATAGCACTTGTGTTTAATAATCCAATTTACAAGTCTTGTTTGTCTTCTTGAGAGAACATAAATCAACTCATGCTGTTTTAAACAGGGGAAAAAACCAAGACCAAAACAAACTCTTTATTTTAAATAGGTTATCTTAATTTCTGTTTTCAACAACTCTTTATCTGCTGTACCAAAAGCAGTGTTTAGATCAGCTTTTGAGCTCTCATTACAGTGCACATTCTATTACCACTTTTCTCTAGAAAGAGAGAAACCTCTCTTCCTGGAAGTAAGTGCTTCTAAGCCATAAACATTATCTGGAGGTAGAGGGGCAACAGCAAATTATCAATTTGGGTAGTATAAGCTTCCAAAAGAGAAACTAAACTCACAGATGCCAGAATCCAGGCATAGCTGGAGTTCAGATTCACACTGCTGTCAAAGATCAGAATAAGAGCCACAGCAATGATCTGAGCAAAAATAGCTGTCACTGTCCCTTCAAAGGTCTTCTTTGTTCCCGGCCATTTGATTTCCCCCATTGTACTACCAAAAACGGAGGCAATAGTGTCTCCTACCCCTACTGCCAGTACCCCAGAGTAGGGGACCAGTGCTCCTGCCCCAGACAAGGTACCTTTAGGAGCACAAGATCTGGGGAACAACCACACTGGGAGGGACATGCCAAGGAGGAGATAAATATGAGTCAAGATTAGAGGTCCACTGTCTCTTTCATCCAAGAAGAGAGACAGCAAATGCCTAAGGGTTTGGCCAAATGGTTTGATCCTGAAGTACCGAATATACTCTAAGAAGATAAACACTGCCAGACAGAGTACTGCAGCAACGTAGAGAAGCTGGCGGTCATAAATTAGTCCAGGAACATAAGTAGCTACAACAATGAAATGGAAATATTTCCTGGTTATAGTCGAGGCCTGGTGTTTTTTAGATTCAGATGATCTCTTAGCATTCTGGTAGAAAACTACACCACATGCTGAAGCAGCCAAAAAGGTCCAATATACAAGAAGGTAAACTCTTGTGTGTGTCTGAAACAGAAACTGGAGTAGCCAGAACAAAGGGTTCCTCTGGATCAGCCGGTAAAGCCAAGGCATGATGACCCCTAAGCCTAGCACTGCTGTCATCATGTGGAAAAACATGGAGGAGATCCACGTACCCGAATCCATGAAAATGAAGAGCACAGTGAAAAAAAGCCCAAGAAGAACAACTCCAACAACTGCTACCAGAAGGAAAAAGTCTATGGGATCACCTCTGCCCTCAATTACATTCAGTGAGCGTTTAATGAGCTGATTGAGAACAAAACTTATGCCTCCGAGAACTAGCAATGCTTCTCCAGGAGTAAAGCATCGAGGCAACAAGTACAGCAAGATCATACTGAGGTAGACAAAAATTAGCAGCACTTCCAGGACCTCTATCACTTCTGAAACAGTCAAAGAATGCTTCATGGTATAGATAATTATACTGCCAGCAACACCAGTAAGTATGCAAGTGTTGGTTGGCACAGGTTTTGTGATGCCAACCGCTATTACAGACAGAAAGAGAGCAACCAGCATGCCAGTGGAAGCTACAACTATGCCAAAACGTTCGAAGTACACAATGCCAGCAGACTTGCACCTCTCCTTCATCACTATCCCCAACAAGGGGATGACCATGCTAGCTGGCAGGAGGCCACTGTTCGCTGCTGTACGGAACTGGAACACAGCCCCACCCAGCTGCAGCAGACGGTCCCATTTGAATTGGACATAAAAAGCCTGGATGGCAAGAGCGACGGCGCACCAGGAATACCGGTCCCATACCACTGTGTGCACAAAGAGGACGATGGCAAACACAATCAGGGACTCCACCAGCACTGGCTTGTTTAACATTATTCCAGTCCAACGTGGCTCAAGCTTTCAGAATCTTTCTCAGGAGTCCTGATGTGCTCAATAGTTGTCCATTAGGAAGAATTCCCTTTCATGCTACTGCAATTCCTATTAAAAAAAAACCAACAAAACAATTAAAGCAACTACTAGAAAAGCTAAAGCTTTCACACAGCTATTTTGTTCTTAAGCTCAATTTAAACTGATAATTATGTGCCAATTGTTAATTTTAACACACAGGTGAATAAAAAAACCCAAAACAAACCAGTGAGGTAATCAATCAGCCAAAACTGTTATCCCCCTCTGAGAATCGGAGAAGTCAGCCTGCAGTGACAGAAGTGAACCACTGAATACTGGGGTATTCAGACACAGTTTTAAATATTTCTGTTTCAGTGTCTTTGAATTGAAATATGAAGCAAACAAGCCATAAATATTCCCAGAAGGCTTCATTGTGATGGTGTGAATTTGAAATACAGTTAATTTAAAAGTTCAAAGACAATTTTAGAATCTAATTTTGTACGTGATTCTCACTGTAGTTTTACAGAACATTCTTCCTTTAATTAAATATTTCTTCTCCCACTGCTGTGCAAAACCCCCTACATACTTGTTACTGCAGCAGGTGTTTTATAATGCTAAGTAGTATTTACAATAGAAATAGGAAAGAAAACATCACAATCATTAAAAAAAAAAATCTCAAATGGCATACTTTATCTAATTTTGATCTATTACCAGAACTGTCAAGATAAGCTAAGTTGGAAATCTGGCCACAAAAGAATCAAATGAACAGAAATAATTTCACCTGCAGCCAGTGCACATGCTGCTCATCACATCCTTAGTATGAAGCAGCTTTAATTTATTTTGCTTCTACAGCACTGCCCGGTCATATTTGTTACAAAGATACCTATTCTAAAATATGCTTCTAGTCCCTTTTGACATACTGTCAATATTCTGTTTAACTCTACAATGTGTTTTAGCCATATGAGTTAACCATTATACAGCTCCATATGTGAGTGAACAAGCCTGATTTATTCTTCCTTATCTTTAAAGGTATTGGCTTAATTTCTCTTTAAGCCATGGCACAGTGTCTTCCCCCTGTCAGGTATCTTTCCCATTTTCCAAGTGAGAATCCCACACTCCTATATTACACAGAACCTAGATCTCTATCAATAAGCAAAATATTTTAATGGTAGTCATTAATGATACTAGACAAATATTAGCAAGTCTCATCCCAAAAATGCATCATTACTTTGTAAGTGACTTGTTTAATTAATGTCTGGTATGCACTATTTTCCTCAAATTCTTCAAGAGTAAGTAAACCTTGTAAGATGTTCTTGATCATGATCTAAAGCTGTCATTGTTTTCTAGATCGCCTCACTCCCTGGCCTTACTAACACTGCATTTATAGCACTTCACCTTCTCTGAATCAAGGCTCACAGCCGATGACAGCTCTGTTGCAAACTGATTTTTCCCTTCAACTTTTGGACTATAAGATAAATAGTTGAGATAATCAGCAATGCACATAATGACTCTACTAAGTTAAATCATATCTTAACTTCTTCAAAGTATTATGGGCATTCAAACATTGTGCAATTCTCACCAGCATTTATTGCTTTCTGGCAACCTTTATTTCTCCTTATCCATAATTTGATATTATGTCTTAGTCATACATAAGCCAATGCATTATACTGGGATCTCTTTTAGGTTCTTTCAAGGTATCAGTTTCTGTATTTCTGTTGGCAATAGACTGTCTGATCCAGCTGTGCATATCCCTGCTGGATACAATATCTCCAGCTGAAACTCTGGATTGCTTCATCCTTTCTGGCCCACCCTTAAGCCAATTAGTAGTAAACTCTTATAAAATTCTGCTCCCCCGGTCTCGTTACTAATATCTACATTAGCTCCTTCATGGAATGCTAGAAGTTTATTTAAAGTTCTGGTTTGCATTTTCATCCAGTGTTGAATGGTGTCACCAGATTATAAAGCTGATAGAGATCTTAGTAGTAATATTACTGGGTAACTATTAAAGTTTGTACTGTCAAGCTCCCTTACACTGTGGGTCTGGACTATTTCATTATTTATGACTTTGTACTGAAAACTCTTGGCTATTAATAGACTGCTTTTTTTGGCATCGTTATTTGTATATCCTGAAATACTTGATTGCCAAATAATGTCATTACATTTACTGCCGCTATACAGCTAGATCAGGCCAAGTGTAATCTTTTTGCCATCACAATTAATTTTTAAACCGATCAGGAGAAGAATTGATCATATAGTCAATAAACCAGAACTGGCATGGGCAATATCCACCTAGGACCACTAATGGTTTTGGGGTCTCACTCCTTGTTTCTGAGCACAGGGGAAGGGGGAGCTTAAAGGTTATTTGAGGACAGGCAGGGGAAATACCACACGTCAGCCAAAGATTGAAAAAGGCCTCTCTCTCAGTCTGGCAACTTTAAGGTTGCAACCCAGCTCTTGCATCCGTAACGACGCATGACAGCTTCCCCCAGCGGGCAGCCTGCCAGCTTGGCTGTAAGACAAGGAAGAATTTCACCGTATGAAACGCAGGTCTCCTACTCTAATGCAGCAGCTTTGCATTTGCTACGCAATGTATTTCACCATTGAATTATTTCATTTTCTTGTGCCTGCGGCAATTCCCTCCTCCACACCTTCTCTCAGGTAACGTGAAGCTCCTCGGAACTCCCGCTCTCTCACACACCGAACGGGACCCATCGCCCCCCCGTTTCAAGCCGCACAAAGCCCGTTCCCTGATCTGCATCCCGGCTGCTCTGGGAAGGGAAGCTTCCAGCCGACGCGCTCCCAAACCCCCGGCAGCCCTCGCCTCGCTGCAGCACCTGCCTCCTCCCTCTCCTCCCCGTCTCCTCCGCAGCGCTGCGGGCTCCCCCCACCCTGTCCTTT